TTTTTTTTTTTTTTTTTTTTTTTTTTTTTTTTTTTTTTTGTGACTGTTCTGCAGAAATGGGGCAGTGATCACATTGCCTTAGCTACTGAATTGGCGTTTACAAGGAGTCATGAAGTGTGATAATATGAGTCTTATAAGCTAATAATAGTAATTGAATAATTCCCCTTGCAATTGGAGGGTTCTTTATTCATGGAACTGAACTGGTTTCAAGGGCAGCGGCCTGCAGGTACAAGTGTTAATTTGAGAGGACGGTCAGCATTTTTCTAATACTTTTTTTTTTTTATATTTATTTTAAAGATTTTGTTCGTGGATGATGCCTAGTTTCAGGTTACTTAAGAGCTGATGATGTCTATAACTTTCAAAAGAAAAGCTAATGTCTTTATTCCCTTAGTTATTTGGTTTGGATGAGCTGTGCCAATGTTTCCTTACACATTTATCTTCAAGTAATGCTATTCATCGTTATTTCTTTAAGTTTGTCTTATTTATTTATTTATTTATTTTTAAATCCTTTTCATTTCTATATTTTATTTGGTTTGAAGAGCTAAATATGTGTGAATGTGAGCATAACTAAGTTCTATTACCATCATTGCTTAATCCAATGTTATTACCATGGTTAAACTTTTTTTAAAAAAAAATAAAATTAAATGTTGTTTCGTCGATGATTTTTTTAATATTTATCATATTTATATATTAACTAGCGTGATGTGGATTCGGGCAGGAAATTTTCAAGTCACTAAAACTTGCATTCGGGTAAGGAATTCTTGTTTAACAGAAAAAATGGGGAGGGTGGTACAAAGTTTTTTTGTTATTGCTAAATGAGATTGGAGACGAGATTATATCTCTCGTTACTGTCTTAATTATTATTGTTTATTGGTTATAATTTCTTAAAAAGTCTTTGTTATAATATTAAAATTTTATTTTAATTTTTTAGAAATTAGGTTGGTTGAGACCTATAGTTCTATATATATTTTTAACATTTTTGTTTTTATTGTGATATTATTATGGTTGAGAATAAATTAAAAAAATAAAAAATAAAAAATAAAACAAAAAATCTCTCCGGGCAATCCCTTTACCTTAAAAATAAATAAATAAATTTACAAGATGAAAATTAAAATATAAAAACGGCAAGCTTTCTTGCATAGTGGATATCTCTATGGTCGCCCAGTGGAGGAATTTGAGTCCAACAAGATGTTGGGCCATGTATTGGGCCTTATACTTAACAGGCCGGCCCAATTGTAAGGCTCAAATTGGGAGCCGTCGCAAAATCTTTCAAGGGAAACAGCTCGACCAGGCGATTCTTCCAGAAAACCGGAGAAAGGCGGAGAAAGGCGAAGCCGAAGTGGGCACTGAGAAAATCAGAGAGAATTTTGGTGGAGGGAGAAGCAGAGAGATCGAAATGGCTTCTTTTCTGCAGTCGCTCATTGACCCAAAGAAGAACTGGTTCGCTCGTCAACACATGAAAGCGCTCACCCAGCGCCTCCGTAATTATGGTAAAAAAACAAACCTAATTGTTTGTTGTGCGTTGATCTTTCTTTTAGCGTTAATTTCGAATTTTTCTCTATGGAGATTGATTTTGGTTTGTATTAATATTTTTAGGACTTCGATACGACGATCTGTACGATCCGTATTACGATATTGATGTGAAGGAGGCTTTGAATCGACTCCCTAGGGAGATTGTGGATGCGCGCAATCAGCGTCTGAAGCGAGCCATGGACCTTTCCATGAAGCATCAGTATCTTCCTGAGAATCTACAGGTTCTCTTCTACTATGGTTGTTTATTTCCCCTTTAGATCAGTTAATAGCCTCGTGGAAAAACAGAAATGTGTTGGTTGTTTATCATTATTGAATACCTAAATGCTACGATTTGTTCAATGAAGTGGTTTCACTACGAGCGGGGAAGGAGGAATTGTTATCACAAAGTTTTGTTTATGTGTTTTGGCTTAGTTGTACATGGTCCTAATCTAGTTGTTGAACGTTCTCAATAGTTGGGATCCATTGTTGAACTCGATGGTTAAGTTTCTTTATGGTCACAGGAATTTATCTCGTAATGATATTGGATTAATTGGTTTTCCCAAACTAAGTACAGCAAGCCAAATAATGTTTAGATGACTATTCATTTGAATATTTGTAACTTTTTGGCAGGCCATGCAAACACCATTCAGGAGCTATCTCCAGGAAATGCTGGCACTTGTAAGTCCTATTATTTCATATCACCTGCTTTGTCATTTTTAATGAATAAATGTCTGGCTTTGTTCTTAGAAATAAGGCAGCTGCTCTATATCATAGTGTCGGTCATAGTTCTTGAATTTGTATCCTCTTGAACTGTATTTGGGAGTTATTGATTTTGATATTATTTACCATCTGCTAGCTTAGATGGCATCTGTTGATCTAATTTCCCCTTTGAGGCTTCTCGCTCTGTTCTCGGTTGTTCTTCATGATTTCAGATTTCATGTTCTAGATAAATATCAACTTTGGGGTAGTATGTTTTATTTTGAAGCAAATACATATCTTATATAGGACTTTGTTTGTGGTTGAATAAGAATTCTTAACCTGTTCTTATTGTAACCCTACTCGGTGAAATTGCCTCATCTAAAAATGAACATTATTTGTTGGGCATTAGAATTTTTGGTTTCATTAGTTTGGATTTTTAAATTTTTATTAGCTGATGAGGATGGAGGGAAAGCGAGGATGGAAACTGTGACAGAATGAATCTTTTGATTATTTAATGACCACTTCAAATTAATCTGCTTCATTTCTTCTATTTGATTGCCAGATTGTTTAAGATTCATGACTTTCATTTGCTTAAATTTATTAACTGTGTATCAGTAGAGAGAGCTTCTATGCGATATGCTGCATCCTTTGAGTACTACAACTCCTAAGATTTCTTGGAATATTTCTTAGTCTAGAATACCTTTGGGGATTGTGTGTGCCACATCCTACTGTTGCTTTGTACTTTGCTGTTGAACTATTTTAATCCTTCTAATTTCTTCTGATGACTTCGTTTAGCTAAGTTAAACAATCTAATTGAGTATCGATTTTGTGTGGATATGGGTATTTATTGAACAGCAGAAAGCAGCATTAGTGAAGCTAAAGTTCCTTTTAAATTTTTTCTCTGTTTATGTTTTGCAGGTAAAGAAGGAGAGAGCAGAACGCGAGGCTTTGGGAGCATTGCCTCTTTACCAGCGCACCATTCCTTAAGCTTTTTTTTTTCTTTTATTTTCTTTTTGGATGGAGTAGATGTCTTTTATTTAAGACAGTTTCTTCCATAAGTTGATGGATTGGAACATACCTCCATAAATTGTTTGTTTCAACTTTTTTATTTCATCACGAAAGTTTCAGTCGTCATCTGTTCAAGTCATTATTGATATATAATAAGTGTGAAACTTGTTTTATCATCCCGATTGGAATTAGTCTTGGCTATTTCCTCTTTCTATCACCATTGGTTCCTTTGTTCAAGCTATATTCACACTAATAATAAAATAAATTGTGAGATCCCACATTGATTGGAGAGGAAATGAAACATTCCTTGTAAGGGTATGGAAACCTCTCCTAACAGTAGTGTTTTAAAATCGTGAGGCTGACGGCGATATGTAACAGGCCAAAGCGGACAATATCTGTTAGCGGTAGGCTTAGTAATATAAAGTTACATCTCTATGTAACAACGTTGGGAAGCTAATAAAATTTCTTCGTAATAGTTTATGGTGGGATCAAGAATTCACTATGTCCATGTTTTCTCGGTGACATGGAATTTCCGGTCTGAGACGATTTCTTACTGCATCATAAACACTCGTGCCTTTCTCCTGCAAATTTCATCAGATTCCCAGGCAAACTCAGCTGTTGATGGAGACGGCATCCCTCAGGAAGGAACAAAATCTTTCCTCTTCATTATCCTCTTGGTGAGTTCTCTCTCTGACTCTGTTTACACTTTGCTCCTTCTTTAATAATGCTACAGCCTATAGCATCTTTTCCTTTCATTCCTTCGCAGTTTTGTGTTGGTATGTCTCCCTGAGCTCCACTTCTTTGCCCTTTAAAGCCGGACATTCTGATTATGATCCATTATCTTCTTTTTCAACACAGAATATGCTGCACGTCCGAGAACTCGAGAGGAGTTGTACATCATGATCAGAGCTAAAATGGAAAACCAAAATGGTTAACAACATCGGTCCGAGTAGAGAGGGAAGGGGATAAATAAAATACTAACCATCAAATCTATTCCCAGTGGAAAACAGGATTCAAGAAGGGCAATTCTTATTTATGATAGAATACTTTGTTTGGGGGAGTAATCAACTATGGTGTGTGACTAAACTTTCTTGGTTTCAGCTCCTTGGACGGATCATTCTACAAGGTACATTTCTTTATATCTCCGGCTTGGTTCTTGGATGATTGGATCATTTTCTATCTCCATTTATGTTTATTATTAGAACATTCCTTACCATACTTTGGTATCATCGAAATGATGTTTCCAAAATCCAGCCACTAGCTAGAAGAAAGGGATGCTAATTGTATTAGAGCCAAGATATTGTAATCATTCTCAACCTCTAGGCTTGTATTGTCCATGCTTTTTCCCTGAAGATTGTTTGAGCATCATGTCAGTTTCATCTTTCCAATCATCATCGTCCATGAGGTCGATGAGTGTTGCAACTGCACATAAGAATATAACCCAGTGTGTAGCCGATGCTCGGTCGGACGCTCATGACGTTCAGGAAAAGGCTCTTAAAGACTTGGTTGCCATTACCCAGGTTAGTCCCTTATACAGGAACTTGCTTGCACAAGTAGATGGATCAATTCCAATTCTTATAGCTCTCTCCAAATCCTCTTCCTCCACCGTCCAATCCCTTTCACTGTCTATTCTCTTCAATCTATCTCTGAATAATGACATGAAAAAGCTTCTTGCATCAATGGAAACCATTTACCATCTCAATACGCTCATATCCTTGGGCTCGCCCGAGACCGTCAAGTTATCGTCCTCATTGATTTGTAGTCTTGCAATGCTAGACAAGAACAAGGCTAAGTTTGGGGTAGCAGGTACCATACAGTTGTTGGTTAGAGCACTTACTGTCCCTAGTGTTCCTGCTGCTCATCACCTTCTCTGTTCTCTAGCTGAACTAGGCCAGTTTCATGGAAACTGCACTGTGGCTGTTCGATCAGGAGCCATCTCGGTTCTTGTCGACGTAGTGGAGAGTACCAGTGGAGAGGATCTCGCTGGCACTGCTCTTGTTGTTCTCGGTCTCTTGGCTAGATTCGAGGAGGGGTTGAGGGCTTTGATAAAAATCGATCGGATCGTTTATTCAATGGTCAATGTGTTAAAAGGGAGGTGTATGTTGAGTAAAGAAGGTGCAACCGAGATCCTTTTGCGATTGTTCGAAGAGAGTGAAGGTTGTTTGAGAGACGCATTGAGGTTCCCGGAGTTTTTAGGCGTCGTTGCAGATCTTTCTGTGAGAGGATCCACAAAAGCTAGAGAAAGAGCTACTCTACTTATGAATAAGATCATGAATAATGACTTGGAGACGTATTCAAATGCCGACTCAGTGTATTCGCCATGGTATTGAAGTTTGTTATGGTCTCTTGTGTTTGTTTATTGCAATGGAACTATGTTTATTTTCTAGTAATAGATTTGATCTCTATGCAGTTTGAAAAAATGTAGTCTTAGTATGTGAAGTGGTTTATATTTGATTTTTTTTTAGTATGATTTTCTAATAACATTCCTCATAATTTTCGAAAATTTTGAAATTTTGAATGATTACCATAATATAATAATATTATCGAGATGAAGTTGTGTATATATAATATATATATGAATCATTTCTAGAGTATAACTCGAATTCCCTTTTTTCTGGATCCATCTAACATCAATGACTTTTCATTTTTGTCTAAATTTTAGAGTATGCGGGATTTTAGATGTGGGATTTTGTTAGTGATTCTTTATTTATTTATATATATATGCGCGCGTGTGTATATATGTATGTATATATATGTATAGACGTAATCCACAATTATTCATTCAAGGATATGTGTTGCATGTATATAATTAATTTGTTGTGTCGTTATAGAGTATGTATATGATAGATTTCGGTGAAATTTTTTTCCTAAAAACGTATTTTAAAATTACGAGGGTGACGACGATATGTAATATGTAAAAACGGACCATGTGTGATATTAATATAATTCATTGACATAGTTGATTAATTGAAATTTTCTATCTAGCTTAATTTTTTTTTTTTTTTTTTTTTTTTTTTT